GCTCCTGTGGCACGGGCGATGGCAGTGTGACAGAAGCCATGGCCCGGGACAGGCAGGGCTCTGGGGGCGATGGAGTGGAGCTGCCTGGGGGGGCTGGAGGTGGGCTCCCTGCTTGTGCATGCTGGGATGGGCTGGGGGAGATGGGCATGGCAGGGACTGGTTGCACACACATAGACATGCTCTGGCCCACATCTGCACCAGGACCTGGATGTGCCAGGGCCAGGCACCGTTCTGGGGCTGGCTGCACTTCAATGAGCACTGCCAGCACCATCCCAGTCATGGATCTGCCCCAGGCTGACATGCTCTGCCCTGGCATCCAGGGGTGGTGGGGGTCAGCCCAGGCAAGCACTGTCCCTTGGGCAAGGTGGATGGAGGGGGGTTCACTGGCCTGGCCATAGCTCAGTGCTGCCTGGTCCCCAGCACAGAGGCTAGCACTGTGTCAGGGCACAGGAGCCGAGGGCCCCCATTCCACTGGGGACCCTATCCCTGCTACTCCCCAATGGTCCCTGTTGGGCCAGGGAGTGTCAGTTCCTGTGGTTTGGTGTGTTGTGCTGGCTGGTGGGCTGCAGGGCTGTGCCCGTCTCCTGCGGGTGCCTCAGTGCAGCCTCCAGTGGGAGGGGACATACTTGCCTCCATTTTCAGGGTGTCGAAGTTGTTTTCTTCTTTCTCTTCCTTGCCTGCACACAGAACAGAGAGCAGCCATCAGCTCGGTCCCATGGCGCAGGGCCCCCTGGACCCCTGCAGGGGAGAAGGGGGCCCACCTGGGACCCCCAAACCAGACTGAGGGCCAGCCCTGGGCCCTGGAAGGGCACTCATCACTGCTGTGTGAGGCCTGGGCTGTGTTCTCCAGAGGATGCTGACTCCTGGGATGGCTGCTCCTGTGCCCCCTCCCCGAACCCTGACAAGAGGATTCTGGGGGCTCTGGGTGAGCAGCCCCTGCTGGGGCCAGGGCCAGGGCAAGCAAGAGAAGCACGTGAAGCCCCGATGGCTTCCTGTGCTATCGGCACATGTCATGCACTGCAGGTACGTGCGGAGACACTACCAGGAAAGAGGCTAAAAATAACCTGACAATTTCTGGGGTTGCAAACCTCCAAGCACACTGAGCTGCCAGGCCAGAGTGTGGTGTGCACCCACCCTCCCGTGCCTCACTGTGGTTGATGCTGGGTCCCTGTGCCAGGTGAGCACATCTGTGCTTCACCCAGCTGCTGGGCACCAGCTGCCCCGGCAGAGATGGGCTGCAGGGGAGGACCTCGGCCAGACCCCTGGTGGCCCCTCACCGGCTGAACACGCATGCTGCTTTGTTGCAGGGTGCGACGTCCCTGGGTCATCAGGCTGCAGCCCTCCCCAGCTTCCCCCCAGCCCTGTGTGACACTCAGATAGTCCCTTGCAGCTGGCACATGGGGACCCAACCCCTCTGCAGCAGCTGGCATCCCCCTAGAAGCAGCATGGCCTGAGCAGGAGAGCAGCCTCTTGGCACTGCTCTGAGTGCCAGGGAACAGCAGGGGACACTGGGGGACAGAAGCTTTCTATCTGTGCTGGGGTTAGGAGTGTGCACGTGCCTTGGGGGTGCCCAGGCAACATCTCCTCCCGGTCCTGTCCACAGGCATAGGGATCTCAGGTAGGGAAACTGAGGCACAGACCCCTGGCCTCGGCTCCTGCCCATCCCAGTGCCCTGCAGCAGCACCATGCCCTGTGCTCTCTGCTGTGGTGATGGGCCAGGATGCACAATTACCAGCCAATGGCAGGATCCTGCACAAGACCTTCCTTCACTGGGGATTTTGGCAGGGAAGGGACGGGGGGACAGCAAAGGGGCGCAGAACTGATGGAACAGCTGGTAAGTTGGCTTGGGTAGTGCTGGAAGAGCAGATCCTCGGCCCCCTGCTGGGTCAGAGTGGCAGCAAGAGGTGAAAAGCCAGTGTGCAAAGAGGAGGAACTAGCAATGGATGCAAGAGTGTGGGATGAGTGGAAGAAGGGTGCTTGGGAGAGCACTTGGGCCAGCCAGGCATGAGGCAGTGGAGCTGAAGGCCCAAGAAGCAGAGAGGATGTGGGAGAAGCCACCAAGGTGATGATGCACAGAGATGGCTGAAGTACTTGAAATGGATTTTAGGGAAGGAAGCGAGCTCCCAGAAGCTGTCATGGCTCCTCCAGTCAGTCTCCAAGTACCACTGGTATCGCTTTGACACCATCACCAGGGCACTCGCCCCATGCCCAGTTAAGGAGCCTTGGGCAGCTCCAGGGCAGGCAGTGCACGGCTGCAGACACTAGTTGTGTTTGCGGGAAAGCACTGGAAAAGAGATGAGGGCAGGGAAGAGCCTCCAGATGACTGGAAAGTGCTTGCCTGGCAGGAATACAGGCAGCTGCTGCTCTGACTGCACAGTGAGAAGAGCAGGAGGATGAGCACTGTGCACAGGGGCCCTGTGGGCAGGTCATGTCACACGGCTCAGTAATGCCGAAAGGAAAGGGCTGAATACCAGCCCAAGGCTGGAAGATGAAGCCTGACCTGCTCACAGCACCCATGGTCACAGTACCCATGCTCATGCACTACGCTCATAGCACTGTGCTTATATCCCCACTGGTACTTGCTGCTGCCGGTCTCTACATCCAGAGCTCTGTCATGCTTGGAAGCTGGCAGCAGGGCACCCCTGGGGCTATCTCCACCTCATTCCACACTGGTCCCCACATTAGGGGGCTCAGCCCGTCTGGTCTTGCTCCCTTCAGCCGCTGCAGTCAGCATGGCGCCAGGGCTGCACCACAACCCATGTCTGACTGCAGTATGCCCAGCACAGTAAGCTCCCCATGACTGCCTATACCATGCTGCCAGCTATGGCTTCTCCGCTCCCTCAGCTGCCCGCTCAGTGCCTCGTGACTGCAGCAGCATCTGCATCACTCGTCTCCATCCCTAGCCCTGCCTCACCCGCCTTCAGCCAGCCCCTCCTTGCTTGTCTCCATTCCTCCTTCAGCATGGCCAGCAGGAGGTCTCTGTGCTGAGCCATGTTGAGAAACCCCCGAGAGCCAGAGCCAGTGCTTGTCACTCTCACCCTGTTCCTGCTCCACAGTACCCCGTGATGACAGTGCTGTGACACCCCAGCTCCTGTCCCCAGCTGTCTGTCCATCCCCTGCTGTGGGGAGAGCATGGTTCCCATCACAGCTCATAGAATCACAGACTGGTTTGTGTTAGAAGGGGCTTTAAAGCTCATCCAGTTCCAACCCCCTGCCATAGGCAGGGATACCTTTCACGAGACCAGGTTGCTCCAAGCCCCGTCCAACCTGACCTTGAACACTGCCAGGGATGGGGCAGCAATAGCTTCTCGGAAGAACCTGTGCCAGTGCCTCATGGCTCATGGCTGGTCCAAGCTGCCCCATCCCACTGCTTGGCACCTCCTGACCAAGAGGGATGGTGGCAGCAGGGCCACAGGCCAGTGTGTGCTTGAAGGGCAGCCAGGGCCAGTGCTGGGCTCCCCCATGGCCTGCACTGGAGCCAGGCATCCCTTTCTGGCTGCTGAGAGCGGAGGCACTC